TTTTTATGGTGTAATTTGTATTGTTTGCTTGACACTTGCATGCAATCATGTATACATATTCTTTTGAGTGAAGCTAGGTGAACAATTTTGCGAAATATACGATATAATTAAGAACAATAATAAATGATGGCGCAAACATACTAGAGAACAATTATCGACTAATTACAAGAAATTGTGTACATTTAACTTATACTAAATTATAATATGATTATCGACTACATTTGAGCCGTTGTAGGAGGTGGAGATAATCATTCTACAGTTGTTTCCCCATGCATAGCTGCATTGATTACAATATCTCTTCCATTATTTATATTGGTTTTTCTTTTGTATCAAGTCGACATTTAACTGAGAGCTCAGCTGATAACTTTTATATGAAATGTTCATTCTTTGCTCTTGGGTTGCCTAATATACTTTATTTAAGATATGAAAACTTATATATGAATGTTAATTCCTTTATTTTTGGGTTTGCTAATATATACTTTTTTTTAGTCTTTTGACAAATATGATATTGATGGTTTTGTCATCTGGGGTAGTTTCCTGTGCATAACTACATTGAGCGGTAATGAGTGAGGGTATGTTTTGGTGCATCATTGTGTTTATCTTCACCGTGTTTTGATTCGTGTTAGAAATTTTCTAATGCTTCTCAAAGTTTTCTTAATATATTTCTTGGATATTTGGCATTTGTCAATTCTCTCAGTTATATTAACAACTATCTGCTTGGGGAAAACAATTTCAAGCTATTGGACGATTAAGACGAACCTAAGCACCTGGCAACTATTCGCGAGGTATGTTAGTTTTTTATTTATTTATTTATTTTTTTTTTCATTTTATTGTTATTGTGTTTGTTTATGTCCCATATTTTGGATGGATTTAAGAAACTTACATAACGGGAAAATTGAGGTTCTGGTTTTGGCTTGTGTGTAATTGTTTTTCCTCATTCTGGCTTGGTAAAGCATCATTTACATACTATTGTAAAATCCATTTTGGTAGTTTTTTTTTTATTTTGTTTCGGTTTGTATTTGCTTTGGTTCTTTGAGTTCTTACCGATAAATGAGATATATTTAGTGTTTCGAAATTATTACAACTAACCTCAAGGCTTTTTCAAGTTGTCTTTATCTTATTGTCTTTTCCATGTCGCATGTTCTGAGATGTCGGTGTAGCACCTTGCCGATTCATTTCTATATTAGTTAGTTTTCATGTGCTGCAATCATTCTAATCAGCAAAATGGATTATTTTTTATGAAAACAAATATGTCCACATTCATCTTTTGCTTGCATCTAAATTTTGGGTAGGAGCATATGTTGGTCTGACTGCTGCAAGATTATATGATGTCGAGATGCTTGGCACCAAGAAGTGAAGGATGAGATCCCCCAATGGCGCGGGGGCATGCCCCGACCGCGGCATACCAAAGATTCGATCCTTGGCTGAACGACATGCGATAGGCAGCAGGCGAATTACTGCCAATTCGAATATCTGTTGGATTATAATCATTTATATACTATTGTTATTTTTGTTTTAGTTTGCTTGCTTATTTAGTTAATATTACCTCAAAGGATGGGTTGAGCCATATTGTAATCCAAACTACTATCGGCACAAAGCAATTGATAAAGTTATTATGAATTAACCGAGCAATTTTTTTTGTTGTGTGGATATATTTTAATCTAAGTGTATTTTATTTTCCAATTACCTTCTTTAAAACATTCTAATTTAAATGCATTTTTTTTTTCATGTTGGTTTCGTTATAATTATGTTGTACATTACTTCACACTTCTTAACCCAACAAAACAACAAAACAAGTCATAAAAAATTTTCACTATATTTTTAAATGTCACTTGTAACAATCATTTTTTGATTTATAAAATGATTATAGAACCTCCACGTAATATGATTGTAGGTTAATTCAAGAATCAACTAAATAGTACATCTCCATCATGAACCCTCAAGTACCTAAAAGATTTCTGTTCGCCTATGTTTTTAAAGCTCGATCGCAAGTGTACGGCTTCGCTCGTAGTATGTGGCAAGCAAGGTCGTATCCCAAGAGACCAAATAATCAATATATCAAATACTAGATTATGATAGTGTCAACTTTATTTAGACGACCGAATATGAGATTGATTAACTAAACTAAGAAAATAAATGAAAGGAAATAAAACAAAAATTAAGAACTAGCTAGATCGACATGTAAAAAAATATATGGAAATGAAGGATTGTAAGACGTTGGGTTCAATTAATAGTTAGGATTCTTCAGAAATATCACAATTAATTATTTTCTTTATCTACCCTATAAGATGATCACAAATTTATCTTACCGTCCCTCTCGAGATCGATAAAACCGTAGAATAAATCATATATATTAGCGTCTCCACTCAACACATGCAATTCAACTCCAAATAGATTAAAAGATCTACTATCCCCACAATTACCTACTAATCTCTCGATTCAAGCAAGTAAATTATGTCAAATATTAAAGACCTAATATTGAATTCATCTCTCGAATTATGAACAATATTGTCAAACATGTAAAAGAATTGATCAAGTTCTAAACATGAAATAAGAACAAAATACTTGAATAGGGTTCAAAAGAAAAACACTTAATTATAAATAAATCATCCAAAATCTCAACATATTAATCTACTACCAAGTTCTAGAATCAATAAATCTAACCACTCATGTTCGAATTCAAACACGTAGACATATTAGAAATCAACATGATCAATAAAATTTCAAAAGGAAAGAAGAAATAAAAACTAGGAATCTTGTCGATCTTTCAACCTCCTTGATCCCTTCGTAGTTGATCCTTTTTTTGTTCCTCAATTGCTTCTCTTGTGTGTTCTAGGGCTCCTCTCTTGTGTTCTCCACGTTCTTCCCTTCAAAATAAAGTCAATATGCGTTTTTATATGTCCAAAACCCCTCTCCTTATCCAAAAAGACAAGCTTTAAAAATCTGTCTGCGCGCGCGACACGACCATTCTGCCCGTGTCGCTGTCCGAGTCACAGACCGTGTCAGGTCCCTGGGGTTCAAATTCTCTCTGTTGAGGTGACACAGCCTCTGACACGGGCATAGTGCCCGTGTCACAAATCTGCACTCTACTTTTTGCATGTTTCACTCGTTTCTTCAATTTTTTTCATTCGTGCACCAATCTTTCATCATCTCGGGGATCTTAGGTACCCTCCATGCGCCTCCAATAGCCAAAAGCTCTACTAAAGTGTCGAAATATCTACAAAACAAGCACGTGTAATACCTTTCCAACAAATATAGAATTAAAGCACAAATATGCAATTTATACACCAATAATGCAATGACTAAGCTCTAGATACTATATAAATATGGTGTGAAATCACACATGAACAATTTCTAATAAATTATCAAGGACCAATGTACATGCTCCCAATTCTAAAATTCGGTTTTCAGCATAAAAGCATAAACAAACAATACACGTAACACATAGAATGTTTATGAATCAATAGAAAAATCGTAAGCAAATAACTTCGACCACGATTTCAATTTGGGGATGCATGCGCATATACACGGATTTAAACAACCTCACAACTCATAAACCACTGCGAAATTCAAGAGAGCAAAATCTTAAAACATTTCATAAAAAAAAGACACAGTATATGTGAACAAATGCAACATACGCTAGAATAAAAGCTGCAACAACTTATGACAAACTTTCACAGTAGTTTTACACCGGGTGTTAGACCGCCGTGCGTGCACGGCGTAAATCCATCTAGTAGATATAGATATGAGGAATGTCCAAAATTA